GAATGCCCTATCACGTGTCATTCCAAAGTAATCAGAAAAGCTAGGTTTTTATTGCAAATTCAGTCAAACATAAAAGTTAAGGTCAGTGATTCATAAATCAAGGCATGATCCAAAACATCTTGTCTTAGGTAATGCTCCTGTCGTACATGAAGCCCTACCTCTTAAAAAGTTATGAGGAAATACAATATTAATTATTTTGAAGTAAGTCACACTTCAAGGTCAAGGTCACAGGGTCAAAAATAAAGATATTTAGGAAGGTGTTGTCACAGATAATATACATGTGTAATATAAAGCTTTTCTTTTCACTTTTGTAAGTCTTGACCAATTTAAAGTAACGTAAAGCTTTTTGGAAAGTTTGTCAAACTTTAAGGTCAAGGTCACGAGGCCAAAAATCATAGCTTATTTGAAAAGGTATTGTAAAAAGTAATAATCCTGTGAAATATGAAAGCCTTTTTTTCTTCTCATTCAAAAGTTATGACCTAGATTAAAGTTTTTTGCAACAAACGAACAGACTGACAGACGTACGGACAAATCAATGAGATTTATTGTCCTTTTGGTTTCTCGGAAGGGGGGGGGGTTCAAAAAAAGCCCAACAAAACTTAAAAAATAAAACATTCTGATAACATATGATCAAATACACAGAATTTTTAAAAATCATTTAAATTTGCATGTACGAGTATATTTAGAGAAAAGAACTTTTCATTTAAGAATATTGCAACTTTATTATGATTTTAAACAAAAAAAAAATCTAGATCCTTTAAAATTTTCAACCATCCCCACATAACTTTAAAATTGGCCATCTTTCTTCCTCATGTCTTGTTTTCTTTTACAGAAGTCAAATTGTTTGTAGCTGTTTCGTCGTTTGAAGGAATATTAAATGGATTCGTCAAAAGTAATACAAAAATTTAATCAATTTATATCAGTCTCTAGTATATAATTTATTATGTTTTACTTTATTAAATTCTAAAGTAAATTTTCCGATCGGTTTTAGCTAAATTATAAATACATGTATATAAATATACATGTATATTTTAGGAAAGGCCGGATTCGGGTTATATCACATGTTCTGCTGAGACCATCAAACAAGCCCAGGTATATAATAATTGACTCAATCTTTACTCCATTTATTATTTCCAAATTCCTTTAGAATAGAATAAAGAAAACGAACATTATTCAAGCTTAACAGTCCATTTAACAATACAAAAAAAAGAACACGACAAACGCTGACCTCCAACAATAAGAGGTGCGATTAGATGGCATGGAGGAGTAAGCATTCTTTGTCGACCAGTAACACCGACCGTGTACTCCTTGTCTTGATCTGGAAATGACGGGAAAATCTGTTAACAATTCTGTGTAAAAAATGTCCTATTCATCTATTCAACTTATGCTAATTCCACAACATCAATTTTATAATGGACAAAAAGCAAAAGAATATTTTCTTTAAAAATATCTTTATTTTCTTTCATTTTCTTTCAAAATGATTAGAATTATGATTTGAGATTGTCTCACAGTAATTCCAGCATTATGATAAACAATAAAATGACCTGAATAGTTACTGTTGCCTTTAGGTCATTTTGGAAACGCCGAAGTCAGATAATGAATACTTGATGCTAGATGAAATCCAAGATCCTGGATACTCTGAAATCGCGGATTTTGCCTCCAAATCCGTGAGTTTTGTAGACTAACTAACATTCAATTCTCTTGATTTACTTTCAATTTTGTTTATTCACTTCCATTATACCTTCTAAATGCCTTTCGATCCATCAAAAGCAGCTTGAGAAACACATCTTTACGTTGCTTCTCTCCCGCCCCTTCTTAACCACTAAATTTTACTTAATAGGATCTAACTATTACATAATAAAAGATATTCTTATAGTGTCTCATCAGAAGAATAGGTCTCCTTGTCTCATAGAAAGATTCGAATTTGGGGATGATAATCAACTCCAAAGTTTGTGACTTTAGAGTAGAGGCTCAAATTAAGTTGGATGTGAGAGTATAGGTCAAAAGTATTTTTTGTCTTTTCAAATATTCATGTTAAATTTTAGAATTCAGTATCTGCAAAGGTTTATGCTAGAATGGTTTCCTTAACTGGACTATGCTGGAGTATATAACCACAGTGGTTCATTCATTATTTTACGTTTGAACTCTCAATTTTAACTTTAAATATTTGCATTATCTTTAAATTTTTCATTAAATATCCATGTATCCGCACGTCCTGAGGTTTTATATTTGCTTGAATATTGTATATTATCAAATCAGAAATAAAGATGAAAATCGTTTGAGGATATCTTGATTTTAGAATTACAACTCATCGGATAAACAGTATGATAAACCAGTACATATTGTTCGTCCTTTTAAAAAGGGAAAACATCATGCAAGAAGCATGCATTTAATTATTAGTAGAATTAACAGCTGAGTTAGTTATTTCAATTCAAATTTTATTCAAAATTATCGATCGTTAGAATTATATGTTTATAATTAGACCATAATATTCATATTCTGAAGAAAAGAAACCCTTGTATACAGTGTAACTTTTGAGGTAACATTTGTAAGTTCATGTGTAAGTATTAAGCGTAGTAAAATGTTATACCACCAACAAGCATTTAACTAATTTTGAATTTTTTTTTAATTTTTTAAATCGTTTTGTCAATAGCAAGCAAAACCACCTTTTCCCAAAAGAGAAATCCGTTGACGTCCATACGAAGTAAGCGACCGTTTCTTATTGGTGGTTTTGTCTTCTTCTTGACTATAATTATCTCCACTCTTGTGACTGTGGTGGTTCTGTATGTCAACAAAAAAGGTGAACAATTTGCTTATTCCTTTTATTGGTTAAAAACTTTTAGTTTTGCCTGCATATATTCTTTATGATGTTTAATTCTTCTGTTGAAATGCTTTAGATACACCCGAATCCAATGCGAACATAAACAAAATGTCGACAATAACTCCATCAATTTCAATGATAACAAATACGACAACAACGACATCAGCTCCAGATATATCGAGTAAGATTAAATTTTAAGACACTTTACGTCTGAACATTTCAGATTGTTATCCGTGTATAAGTATTTCCCTATTTCTATGGTTTTAAAATGTTCTTCTTTTGATAAAAGGCTTATCTCAAAATTATTATCAATTTATAGTGAACAACCCCACTATTCAAGCTGTGAATTAACTTGAAGTTTTGATAAATTTGAAATATTATTCTAATAAATTTTTGATTTTTTTTTCAAAAAGTTAAGAATTTATCTTTTGGATCAAGAAAATTTTGAAATCCATACTAACTTCGTTTTATATGTTTTTTTTTATTTTAGCTTTAAATAAGCACAAAGATTGCAAGGAAATATACCAACAAGGTTATACCAGTACCGGCGTGTACACAATATACCCCTACCTTCCTGGAACCAGACCAGTGGAGGTTTACTGTGATATGACAACCTATGGAGGGTGTTGGACGGTTGGGATCAGGCTTAATTACTATTAATTTATACAATTGAGCTATTAATTTAACAATAATTATATTTTCGCTCATTTCTGTCACTTCCTCTCCTTCAATTTATGTTCATAATCGTATGATGTGTACTACAAGATTTACATGGTTACTTGTCATTAAAGTATGTTGAGACGGATAAAATGTATTAACAATTAGAAGAAGAGATTTGATGTTTCACCTTGTGCTAGACTAAGTCAAATTGATGGGTTCAATACCAACTTCTTTGTCTAAAAACATTGCTCATAACAAAACAGCAGTAGAAATTCAATGTTCTCTATGTATCGGTTACATATCTAAAGGCCGGTATACACGGTAAGATTTGTATTATAAGATTTGTATTATAATACAAAATCGTACTGTGTATACCTCCTAATACAGTGTATCATAAGATTTTTCGAATCTTATTAAACTGTATTAAGAATAGAGCAATGCTCTGTTTCCTAGTACAAGTCTTAACTTACCTATCACTTTCAACCAATCAAATGATGACTCTAGGGGTCATCCTATTTTTAACATTACTAAAAAAACACATGGTAAATAATAATGATCGACTTTACAAGTAAAGACATCGAAAAACTCGTGGCTTAATGGGAAGGGGGAAAAGGACTTGTGGAATATATCAAGCAGTGCAAAGTACGATGATAGACACTGCTATCAGAGCCCCATCCTCCTTCTTTATTATTTTGACAGAGGGAGAAATACGGCGGGGAAAACACGTTGGAATACGTTGTTTATTTACAATCTTATAAGATATGTATTAGCGTGAGTACAGGAAAGTATTATAATACAAAAGTATTATAATACTTGTATTATACTACAAATCTCATCGTGTATACCGGCCTTAAGTTGTATATCTTGTGTATGCTCGTAATCCTTACTTACGCATCACAAAAGCCTAGCCAAGCACCGACTTGAATGTGTAATTTACGTCGTTATCCATGCATAACTTACTCTGGTGCTAAAATAAATGTTGCGCATTTGAGTGTGAATTTAATTTACGTATCCAAGCACCTATCTAAAATGTCTCAACTATCTGTTAAAATGAACTTTTAATTTTTTCAGGTGTTTCAACATAGGACGGATGGATCGGTTGACTTTTATTTGGATTGGGTAGACTATAAATCAGGGTTTGGACAAGCAAAGGGAGAGCACTGGCTTGATATGCAAATATATAGATGAGATGGAAAACGTTTCATTAGTACATGATGCATCTTAAACAACGGTATTAAACACACAATAGAAATAGTTTATGGTTTATTCCAGTTGTAATAATAGTAACAGAAAAACGTTTTATTTGGCTAGTAATTGTTAGAAGTGCAGAATTGTTTTAAAATATTTTTTTAATGTTTTAAAATATATAAAATATTTTCAAAACAAATCAATTGTAAAAAAAAAAAAAAAGTTTTACAAATATTAACTTTTAGAAAAATTTTCAAAACATTTAACAACGTTTTCAGTATGTTTAAATGACAATCATGTGCTAACAAGGATGTTCGGGGTTGGCGGGTTAAATTAAGCATTTTAAAGTTTAAATATTTTTTATCTATTCTGATTGACTTTTTGAATGCTTTTTTTTTTCATAAAATTCGAATTTATAGAACATAAAGTGTTTATAAGTACTATATTTTCTACAGGAAATGATCACTTACATCATCTAATGATGCTTGGAAAGTCAGATTTCTATGTTCGTTTGGAAAGATTTAGCGGTGGTTGGTACTTCGCCAAATATAACGATTTCGTGATTTCAAGCGAAACAGATGGTTATAGAATGAGACTTCAAAGTGGATTATATCAGGGGAATGCAGGTAATCATTCAAGTGATTTGAAGGGCTATCTTAAACGTTAAAAAGAGATGACAAGATTAAGCCAGATTCTTCTGGGAACATAGCAACTTAAGAAATGTATTCATCTGAAAGACTTCAAAGATTTGATTGAATGTATTTGTCGTTTGTTTCGATTAATTGATTTGTCATAGTTCTTTATCATCCATTTGATTTTTTTTTTGCTTTCATTTTAAATCGAAAAATTTAAATATTATTCTAGGGGATTCCATTGAAAGTCACGGAACAACCAATACAAATGGATACAAATTCAGCACACGTGACGTAGATAATGATTTTGCCGAAAATAGCTGTGCAGTAGCACGCAAAGGTGCTTGGTGGCACAATATATGCACGTGGGCAAATCTAAATGGAATTTATGGAAACGGAACTTGTAAGACAGCAGGGAATTGCAATTTTTTGGGATTCTTTGACAAAAGCTTTAGGGGTGAAAAAATTTTTTATGAGGGTCCAAAGAAAAAATTAAAATTAAAATACTTTCGGGACTTCTTTTGATTTTTTGTTATACTCTAATAAATTTGCCGAGCTGTTTTTTTTTTACATTTAACAATTATTATGGTGATCTAGAAAATAGTATCTATCTCTTTAACAAACTTGTAATATGTCCTATGGATAAAGTATTAGTATCCACTCACAATAAGTTATTGCACTTTTTTAAAGTCTGTTCTGCTTTTTTGTTCAGAATTTGTATAAAAAATTAAAGTCGTAAAAAAATTATCATAACAGACATATATATCAAACAATTATTGCAGTATCCAATATCAACATAGTGATTGAACAACCAATCACCAAAAAGGATTTCCTTTAAAGTTGGCTAAATCATCGTATTTTCTAAAACACTGCTATTATTATAATACTATTATGCGCTTCATTCATATAAAACGTGAAAAGAATCAATTAAACATAGGGCGGTAACAGGCTTCAGGCATGGGGCAGTGGTACAAGTGAAAGAGGTTTGCCTATAGTCGCGGAGTAAGGAGTTGATCCTTACGTCACAAGTTCAAACTGCTGTTGGGAAACCCGGGGAAATTTATGAGACCGAATTGTCCCATGTCGCAGTAAGAGCTGGCATGAAAAAAAAACCCCTCACTGCTAAATGGTCGTAAATAAACAGTATAGGACAAAATACGCAGCTCTCCAAGTTGTGGCGTCTCCAACTGAGTAAAAAATTCTCAAGAGGGACGTTAATATATGAAATATGAAAAAGATGTGGCAGACTCTACGGTATTTTTTTAGTTCCTTGGGATACATCAAGTAGACATATTAATGGACGTAAAGGTCTGTTAACAACTGATGTTGGCGATGAATAACTCCAGCAGTCTTTAACACTGAGAATATTTCTTCTGTGTAGAATCGGAGTATCTCTTAAAAAAGGAAAATTTGACGATGAAAAAAATAACAAAAAATAACCGACTTCAGTTTTCATAAAAGAAATAGTTCTTTATAATTTAAAAAAAAAAAAAACTTTTAAAATAATCTTTAAGAATATGTTTTGATGCTAATTTCTTTCATTGTAAGATAAAAGTTAAAGTCCCATTCGAAAATTTTTAACTCATATATAAACATCACTATACGAGGACTGTTTAATAAAAAATATAGCCATGCTTGAGAAGAAACAAAAACGATTTTCAATGATTTAGCCTTCAAGTTAATGATTTCATTTAAATATTTTCTTTTAATTGACACACATGTCTGTAACATTTTTATCCAATTTCTGATTAATTTTAGAACACATTTTTGAGTATGACCCTTCGTATACTAAATATCAACCCTTATTTCCCAGGCTTGTTATTCTTCCTGAAAGGTGTTTTTACAAGTTTGGGAAAAGAAATAAGTCAAAGGGTAAAAGATCTGCGAATATTTCAGAAAATGACATAGAAAATTGTTTGTGCTTTTGCAATTCTTTGCCCTTCTAAATTTGACTTTTTTTGTCAAGTGCATCTTGTTGTAAATTTGTTTTGAGGGTTTAAAGCTAAGCATTCAAGGTTTATTGCAAACGTGTATAAATACAATTTTTGATATTTAAAATAATTGTTAAGATATTCTTACACACTGTAGTTTTCAATCATTTTTCAAAACATAGGTTGACCATTGAGTATTAAGCTTTTTTACTGTCAAGTTTTCTTGAAACCAGTGTAAACTACCCCCAAAACGATACTTATCAATTTTGCTATGTGTCTTCAAGGCAATCAAATACCATCAATGATAATTTATTGAATTTTTGCAAACAGTACAGCCAAGGGCGGTACGGTTCCCATTTTGATGCCCATTATATCATTTTTTATCATTGCCGGAAATCCACTGCTTATATGTCTATAGAATAGACATTTATTGCTGTACGTTTCACATAGTTCAGTGTATATTTCTTTAGGATTCTTAACGAGTATTTCAGCAGCTTAGACGAAGCGTTTAATTCCTCTTTAAAACTGACATGAACTCTTAAAAAGCCATCATTTTTCATCTTTGTACGACTTACTACATTCCTGTACGCCTTTGTCCGCCATATTTCTTCGATTCCGCCATATTTAATTGAA